TTATATGTACTTTTGCAATGGTAAGCCGCCTACACTAAGAAATTTAACGCGGCTAAACATTTTTATTTTCCCGCGATAACGAAAATAGCGTTTCAGAAAGACAAACGCTATACAAAAGGCAAGCCTTGATATACAATAGCATGACTGAAAAAACCGCTATCATACGATGCTATTAAAACCCACATTTCTTGTAGTGAATATTATGAAGAACCACAAACATAGGAACAAAAACATTTAAACATAGATTAGTCTTTTATAAAAAAGAAATAGTACTTGTGAAAGAAAGGCATTAGTTGCAATCCTAAACATAGCAGTAGACTATTAGAGACTCGGGATATCAGAAAAACAGCTTGTTGATCAATGAATTAGCAGAAGATCCAGCTAGTTGCTGATCCTAGCGTAGATCCAGGCCATTGTGCCAAGTGCAATGGCTGCAACTGCAATGTTGGTCAGTGAATTGACAGAAGAGGACATCTGGGGGGCCGCGAGTGTATCTTCCCGTTCCTTTGCTGAGTTGTCCTTACTGCCACAGTTGTTTGGGTTGGCATCCACAAGCATTTTGATCTGGTGTAGTGTTTGCTGGATTTGTTTTGCCTGTTTTTCCAAAGTTCTTGCTGTGGACAGTTTGAAAGAGTCGACATCTTCCTTTAGTTGGGAGTGTTTTGCATCAACAATGTTAATCTCGTCGACAATGGCCTCGTCGACCCACTTGAACAAGTGGTGCTCGGTTTTCCTCTGATAAAGGGTTTTTCTCGGATTAGTACTGAATAAAAGAAGATGTAAACTGAGGGTTGGGATTATGTGTACCTTGAGCCAGATCTCGCATCGATAGAACCTGCGGAAGAGATTTTCTTTTGTTTGAGCACCAAATGTAGTCAGATTAGCTCCACACCAACATCGAGTGGGAATTCATGTAGTTTGTCTCCCTGTATGTGAAAGTGAAGAGGAAGAGGATGAACTCATGACGATGATGGTCGTTTAAGAAGATAAACTGAATCGTAATAGTTTGAGGATTGAGAGAGTTTTAGGGATTTTGTTGGTGAAGATACTAAATGAAAATGAATTTTTCGATGAGGTCCGTCTGTTAGTAAAATATTAAATTTAGTGGTAATGGATGTGGACAGAAAAAATGTGAGAATAGAATAGCCTTGTGGATGTGGACATAGGTGATGGATGTGGACAACTGTAAAATTGCATTTGCCATCATTTTAGGCATGAATAATGGAGAACCGTTGAAGTGTTTCTGAACTAAAGATACGTAAGACATTACCAAGTCTTATGCTTGGTAATTTTTAGATAGGTTTATGTTTTTGGGGAGTCACATTGGCGGCAATTAGCTACACAAAAGAAGTTTTCCAAGAGTATTCCGACGCTACAAATACATTAGATAGAGAAGTTTTCGGAGGAGACAGTCATAGTAGCTGCTAATCATCAGTGCAGTGGGCAGCATAGTACGCAGGCATGACCATCGTTTTGTAGATGTCCATTGCATACTGCTTGCGCATGTCATCGACAATGTGGTCTGTGATTCCGGCCATTCCAGGGGATGGATCACCATGTGCGTGCAACTCTAGGAATTTCAAGGTAACATGTCCGCAATCACCTGATTGGTCGTTGATGTAGATATCTGGAATACGGCTGCAGATAAAAGGCTTCACACTAGTGAATTGGGTTAGCTCACACATGGCAACTTTCTTAACAAGATAAGGGAGGCAAGCCAACACAGGGTCAAGAACTTCAACCAATCCCATATCGAGGTTGATGGCTAACCCAACCCAGTGAGACTTGTTCCAGAGCATAGGCGTGTAGATGGTTTGCACGTCCTTCATCCATTTCTTTCCAGGGCAGAGAACTATGTCCACCAAACGCTGGTCCACTCGAAACTCTCCTTCTTCTTATTACCACACTTGCTGAAATTGATGAAAATCTCTTTTGTAACTGAAGCAAGTTTAGATGAGGCGAAAGCTGCTTTTTCAGTCTTAAGAATCTCAGTGTGTCTCGTTGAGAGCATGTGGGAAGAATTTCCATTTTCTGGTCATTTTCGAAAATTCCTTGTTAGACCAAACAAAAGCCGAGAATGACGTACAAAGCTCATCTAGAGAATTACTTACATATTCGGTTGTCCATTACTTAGGCTGAGCAATTTCGTGCAGAGATTTGTTTGAAAACTCGAATTGATATGGAGTGCTATGGTACCTGTGACGCAAATAGTTTTAAATGAAGGGATGGGAATAAGACCACATTGCTAAATCTTGTGACACACGAAATAACTGAGATGCTGTTAGTAAATCTTTCACATCGATGTGGGTTTTGAGAATGCTATGGAAAAGGTCCCATTCCTTCTCTGGGAGTGGGTTGATGAGATCCAAAGCCGGAATCAGTGGAGAGCTGAAAAATTCTTTAGCGAGAAAGTTTTCGAGCGTAGATGGAACGTATCTCGGTGGGTCTTTAGATGTTGTGAGATCGACGAAGGGATCCTCGGCAGCCTGATTCTTTTCATGTTCAGTAAATGAAAAGTTATCAGATTTGTGGAGATGATGTAGAATCGCTCATATATAGAACACATACCTCATTAGCAAAAGTGGGACGTCCGATGGCAGGTGGCGAGTTCGAGGAAGCTGTGGCTTTAAACGCATTGGGTGTTGTTGTGTGGCTCGCGAAACCAAGACCACTTTCATTGCTCTTGACAGGTGATGTGAGTGGAGTGAAAGGTAGTGGAGACAACCACGCCCTTTTTCCTGGAGGAGAGGATGGACCAGTGTTTGGTCGAATATTGGACCTGTCGATAGTGGTGGCTCTGGGCTAACATCCGTTTTTTCGTAAATCCTGAGACCATAATATAGTAGGTGATTAATCTCGGGGCTGTCTGGGTGATCAGCTTTATCGTAGATTTTAGACGGTGGGTCCCACTGTCCCGGGTATAGTGCCCCGAAAGTACGAGTCTCCGAGGTCTTATGAATGGGGGGGGGGGACGGGAGTTGTCTGGATATCGTTGTCAGGTTCATTGCGGTCTCATTCTGACTTGTTATAGGAGACTGAGGCTGATGGTGCACAGATTTGGTGTCGTGGAGCGGTGGGATGTGGACATCTTTTGAGTCGTATTCCACAGCATCCACAGCCTAGAATGCAAACAAAAAAAAGGCTAAATGAGAATGTGCAGCATAAAAACCATATATTTAACATTCAGGGGATTAGTGAAAATCACCTGGTCCGCCACATAATGCTGATATGGGACAAGTACCCACTTCTGACACAACTTGGAATTGTGGACATCCTCTGAGCCGTGGTCCATATCATCCACGTCCTGAAATGCTAGCATTGACAGTGTACAATAATAATGGAAAATAATTAGTTAAGGTTGAATGCGGGGAGATTGTATGTGAAAGCATGAATGACTGAACATCACCTTTTCGTCATCTGAATTGTGCTCCTCAGTGGTCGTCTCAGGTGAGCTGTGGACGGTGTCTTGGTTGTTTTCCAGATCATCCACATCCTACAATGAGAAAAAGGAGTTTATTCATGTTAATTAAGGTGGTCTCATTAGTAGAAACGGACACTTGTAACTAGATGTGAAAGAAGGAATGATTTAGCTTTACCTGGTCTGTGGTATTCATGTCATCTTCTGAACTTTGTTCAGGTGAGCCATGGATGGTGTCTGTGTTGGTTTCCATAGCATCAAGATCCTAATATGATAAACAGAAAATGTGGTCCATTAAATGAAACTGAACTCAATTCCAGTAGGAGGATTGAGGAATGACTCACTGAACTTTACCTGCTTTGTGGGATTGAGTTCATCAGTGCTCAGACCAGTGTCCATCGAATTGTCGTCAGCTGAGAGATGGGCAGTTGTAGTGTGGATAGTTTCGTTGGAAGCATTGGTGTTCATGTTTTCATTAGCCTGGCGGTGGAGATGAGCTGCGTACTGACTAATTATAGGTGAGTGGGGTTCTTCATTGTGGGAACCGAAATTCACACTTGTTGATATCCGTTAAATAAGGAAGCTTAGGAAAACCCTAATTTTCCATAGAAACTGGATCTCTGCGAAAGCCAACAACAAGTAACCAAATAAATGCAGAAAAATATGAAAAACGTAATAAAACGAATTTAAAGAAAAAGTAGATCTTATTTCGATTTCGCGTAAGAGCATTACGATCATTACAAGGGTTTACAAAGGCTTTGGCCGCAGGGCCGTCGGCGAGTTATCAACATAAAAACCTTAAACCTAATCGAGTCACAGCTCGATAACAAAAGACGGAAAAAGATAAGAAAAAGGATTTGATTGATTTTCGGACTGAACCTTATGAAAGGATGTCTACGTACCCCTTTCGAGGATCAAGTCGAACGTAGTTCAGTTGATTGAGCTGGACAAGAGATCGAACTGCCTAGGCGAGTTCGTCTAGTGATTGAGCGCCAGTCATAGAAACCGAACTTGTCGAGAAAAAGCCTAAGTTTCTAAGTGCGGAAAATTCTAAGTCTAGAAAAGTTGTGAAAGTCTCAGATGAGAGCTCTGGATTTCATCCCTTTGCTTCTGCCCTATGCTTCTTGCTTATATACTCCCTTCCTAGACGGTCTGGTCTTTCCATTTCGCCCAGATTCGAGTTTAATGGGAATCTTCCATTTATCTCGATCTTTCCTTTTTTCCCGCGGAAATCTTCTATTTATCCTCAAACTTGACATTTATCTTCAAGTTTGACATTTAGATTCTTTCTGCGAGTAAATCGCCAAAACATCGTCGTATCTTCAGGTTGGACTTCGTTTACGGTCGCGAGTGGCTTTTATCCCGTTTTATGACTTTTCGAGCCGTTTTGCGATAAATCCGTTTTACGACTTTAGACGAGATCGTTTCCTGATACGATGCTGTTTTTAGATAAGTTTCTCGAGTTAATCGTAAAGCTAAGCAATGTTCGATGTTTCGATTAATCGTTGCCGTTTTCTACGATTTACTCGGGGTTTTATTAAAAACCCGTTTTGTACGATTTTTACAAAAAATCTCCAATAAATCGTATAGTTTAGGAAATATTCGGTGTTTCGTTTAACCGTTGCCTTTTTATACGATTTCCTCGAGTTCTTTTCGAGAAAACAAAGTTTTAAGGTTTTTATCGTAAAACTCGAATGATAGGACGGATCGAGTCGAAACGGGAGACATTTCGACCGTGATTCGGAATACGATCGTGTCGAAGGACGTATGCCTTGAATCAAGGATGTGGGAGATCGAGGCTCGGGATGGTCGGTGCGACGTACGGCGAGCTAGTTCAGCTTGGCCAGGTCGCCATATGGCGAACTAGGCGATAAGAACCTGTGGGGCAAAGTCAGCACCTCTTAGTTCGCTGTTGGGGAGTCTCTAGTTCGCCTGCTGGCGAATTAGTCGGGAGGCTCCTAGTTCGCCTGCTGGCGAACTAAGCCAGCTCGGCTTAGTTCGCGTTTTGCGGCGGTTTCGGTTTTTCGCGATTTTGTAAAACGATTCTCGAGTTTTATAAAACGATCTTCAAGTTTTATAAAATGATTCTCGAGTTTTATAAAACGATTCTTCGAGTTTTTATAAAACGATCTTCGAGTTTTATAAAACGATTCTCGAGTTTTATAAAACGATTCTCGAGTTTTATAAAACGATTCTCGAGTTTTATAAAACGATTCTCGAGTTTTATAAAACGGTCTTCGAGTTTTAAAAAACGATTCTCCAGTTTTATAAAACGGTCTTCGAGTTTTATAAAATGATTCTCGAGTTTTATAAAACGATTCTTCGAGTTTTATAAAACGGTTCTCGAGTTTTATAAAACGATTCTTTGAGTTTAATAAAACGGTTCTTGAGTTTTAAAAAATGATTCTCGAGTTTAAAAAAATGATTCTCGAGTTTTATAAAACGATTCTCGAGTTTTATAAAACGATTCTCGAGTTTTATAAAACGATTCTCGAGTTTTATAAAACGGTCTTCGAGTTTTATAAAACGATTCTCGAGTTTTATAAAACGATTCTTCGAGTTTTATAAAACGATTCTCGAGTTTTATAAAACGATTCTTCGAGTTTTATAAAACGATTCTCGAGTTTTATAAAAAGATTCTCGAGTTCTATAAAACGATTCTTCGAGTTTTATAAAACGATTCTCGAGTTTTATAAAACGATTCTTCGAGTTTTATAAAACGATTCTCGAGTTCTATAAAACGATTCTTCGAGTTTTATAAAACGATTCTTGAGTTTTATAAAACGATTCTCGAGGTTTATAAAACGATTCTTCGAGTTTTATAAAATGATTCTTCGAGTTTTATAAAACGATTTCTTTTATATTGTCTGCGGAGACTTTCTGCCATTGATTCCGTTGTGACCGATTTTGACACCAACAGTTAGCCCCCCAGCTCGCTAGAATCTTGAGCCTTTAGCGTAAGGTTCTTGCGAGTGGTTAGCCAGTTTTAGTTAAGTTAGGCGGAATTAATGGTTGGAAAGGTCCATTGAAAGTGATCTTTCCACTCTCCAGGGAGCGGAAAGCGTTTAAGATTAGGGCTGCGCCTTGTGAAGGCTGCCTACGTACCCTTTTGAGGGGATCAAGCNTTGAGCCTTTAGCGTAAGGTTCTTGCGAGTGGTTAGCCAGTTTTAGTTAAGTTAGGCGGAATTAATGGTTGGAAAGGTCCATTGAAAGTGATCTTTCCACTCTCCAGGGAGCGGAAAGCGTTTAAGATTAGGGCTGCGCCTTGTGAAGGCTGCCTACGTACCCTTTTGAGGGGATCAAGCCTTTCGTAGTTCGTTTCGGGGTTAAGGTTCGTATGACCTGTTTCCTAGCAAGACCTTTACGGCCTAGTTATATGTTGTGTAGGAATTATCGAGCATATTGATGTCGATGGCATCTGGACCTTTGTCGGCCTTGAGACTAGCCTCGTAGGCCGTTTGGTCTGGCTGAGCGTGGCCGTTATAGTTTTCGGACTGGCCGTGTGCGGCTCTGAGTCCCTGCCGCTTTTGCAGCTTTATTAAAAATCAGTTTGCGTTTTTAAGAGGGTGTTTTTATTCGTATGAATGTAGCGGGAAGAATATGAGTTGATATTGAGGGAGGTCCGCGAGTTGTCGTCTCGCATTCCTTTTTCCCTTAGTGTCGCCTTGTTCGTTTGATCGTTTTAGGATGTTTAGTAAATCGAGTGAGCGTTTAGATATAGACGAAGAGACATGTCTTTAGGATCTCGATTCATGCCTTGAGACGTTAGCGACGAGTGTGCTGGGTTTAGGGCAAGACCTAGGTTTACTTTCGGATTGAGGCTATGCGATGACTAGTTGGCTTTCGTTTTGCCTGTTGCGATTTTAACCTGATTCCATACCGATTTAGAATCCGCGATAGGTTCTCGGCTTATACGATTGGTCTGGTTGGAACCGAGCATCTCACCGGGAACAATTTCTAAGTTGCCCGGAAGTGCTGACCAAAAGTTTGGATTTCTTTTATAGCGCTATTACCCTTGTGTCGGGTGTTCGAGAGCTATCTCTGCGAGATAACTTAAGTTTGTTTAGAACTGTTGCGAGTTTGTTGTGATCAGCAACAAACTATTTTTAAGTGATAGATGTTTACGTAGTTTGGGCCTTCGCGAAGGATATGTATGTTAAAAACTTTTGCGTAATTTTATAGTCGCGGACGGACTGTTAGGTCTTCCAAGAAAATGACTTTATCGAGGAAGGTATTTGTGTCGAAAAAGTACTCTCTGGGCGTCTGCGACGTCTCGCAGTGCCGAAATTTGGTTTTTATTTTATATGCTGCGTTTCGTGTTCGGAACGTTTGCGGGCTTGAAGATGTTGCGCGGTGTTGCGAGGGTTTTGTCTTAACCCTGCTGTTGGGGTCAAAATCGGTATGATGGAATCAACGGCCGAAACTCCCGGCAGAAATATAAAAAGAATCGTTTTATAAAACTCGAAGAATCGTTTTATAAAACTCGAAGAATCATTTTATAAAACTCGAGGATCATTTTATAAAACTCGAGAATCGTTTTATAAAACCCGAGGATTGTTGGTGTCGAAAACCGTACTCTCGAAATCAACGTCTGCGATATCTTCTGTAAAAGGGAGATCATTACTTTCCGCAAAAGTGATTTTATAAAACTCAGAATCGTTTTATAAAACTCGAGAATCATTTTATAAAACTCGAGAATCGTTTTATAAAACTCGAGAATCGTTTTATAAAACTCGAAAATCGTTTTATAACACCCGAGAATTGTTTTATAAAATTCGAGAATCGTTTTATAAAACTCGAGAATCGTTTTATAAAACTCGAGAATCGTTTTATAAAACTCGAGAATCGTTTTATAAAACTCGAGAATCGTTTTATAAAACTCGAGAATCGTTTTATAAAACTCGAGAATCGTTTTATAAAAGTCGAGAATCGTTTTATAAAAGTCGAGAATCGTTTTATAAAACTCGAGAATCGTTTTATAAAACTCGAGAATCGTCTTATAAAACTCGAGAATCGTCTTATAAAACTCGAGAATCGTTTTATAAAATTCGAGAATCGTTTTATAAAACTCTAGAATCGTTTTATAAAACTCGAGAATCGTTTTATAAAACTCATGAATCGTTTTATAAAACTTGAAGAATCGTTTTATAAAATTCGAGAATCGTTTTATAAAACTCGAGAATCTTTTTATAAAACTCGAAGAATCGTTTTACAAAACCGCAAAAAACCGAAACAGCCGAAAAACGCGAACTAGTCACGACTATACGATTTATTCGAGATTTCTCGTTAAAATCATAAAAACGCACTTTTTGATAAAAAACGCAGAGTAAGTCGTAAAAAACGTGTTTTTTAATAAAAAGTCGAGTAAATCGTAAAACCTTGCCATTAACTCGAGTAATTTATTAAAAACGACGTCAGATCAGGAAACGATCCCGTAAAAAGTCGGAAAACGGTTTTTATCGCAAAAC